TAAAATATAAATACATTATAAAATTATAAAATTCAGGCAATTCTACATGTGAACATAAAAGATGCGAATCAATAACATTGTATGAATAGGTGAGTTTTCAATTTCTTCTTAAAAGTGTCCAGATTCTTCTCCTCGCGTAATGCGGCTGGAAGATCATTCCAAAGTTTGGGGGCAGCCGCRGTGAAAGCACGGTCCCCCAGAGTAGCTAGAGTGCGAAATTTTGGTTGYATGAGCAATGTTTGATTATTCGATCGTAATGCATATTTAGAGTTCGGTCTAAGGGAAATCAGATCGCAGATATATTGAGGTGCAAGTCCATAAATAGCTTTAAAAGTCAATAAAATGATCTTAAAGTTTATTCTACTTCTAATGTTCAGCCAGTGAAGATCAACCAATAGTGGGGTGATATGGCAGAATCTTGGCGCTTCATGTAAACTAGTCTGGCTGCAGCATTTTGTACACGTTGAAGTTTACTGAGTAGATTGTTTGGCAGGCCGTATAGGAGAGAATTACAGTAATCCAACCGGCTGGCGACAAATGCATGAATCAACTTCAACCGTTATTTCCTGCGTTAGAAACTTCCGCTATCCTAGAAATATTGTGTAAGTAAAAGTAACCTGCTTTACATGTCTTAGTAACGTGCGTATTCATTGAAAAGTTATTGTCAAACCAACAGCCTAAGTTCCTTATGGCCTCACTACTTGGTACGATCTGAGAGTCTCCGACAGCAAGATTGTCGATTGTCACTTTCTTTAACTGCGCTTTTGTACCAATGAGAATCACTTCGGTCTTGTCGTCATTGATCTTTAGACTGTCCTTGGTCATCCACTTCCTAATATCCTTTATGCATGCCTCCATGGCGATGATCGCCGAGTCTTGAGCAGTAGAGCTATTCGGTTGAAATGCGAGGTATAACTGCGTATCGTCGGCATAGCAGTGTACTTTGGGTAAATGGTTGCTGACGATGTCGAAAAGCGGGCTCGCATAAATAGAGAACAGCAACGGTCCTAAGCAGGACCCTTGTGGTACGCCGAATTCAATATTAAACCTCTCAGAAGTTGCGTTGTCGATGATAACTTGTTGAAAGCGACGAGACAAGTATGATCTAAACCACTCTAACGCCGTCCCAGTAAATCCGAACTTATTCTCAAGGCGGTTCAGCAACACTGAGTGATCAATAGTGTCGAACGCTGCGCTCAAGTCCAGGAATACCAGAAGTGTAACTTGTTGTTTGTGTAAAGCTACTGATTTACTAGTATTTTAGTTGAAATCAGGCTGGCCACGAACACACTTTATTACAAGGATTAACTCTTGGTGAACTACACGTACAGACTGTATGCTACACACCTCTCTTGTCACTTGATACACATACTTAATCATTAACTATACAAGTACTGATTGCGTGACGGACTAAGTAAATATATTTAACTCAACA